TTCCCTCAACCTTTCTTCGTAGGACAATCCCCGTAGCTCTGGGACTAGTCTTGTTGCAAACCTTTGCACCTTCTCTAATTTCTTGACATGCTTGACTAGGTGTGGATTCCAAACTGGTGCTGCATACTCCAGTATGGGCCTGACGTAAATGGTATACAGTCTTGATAGTGCTGATAGTCTGATAGTGCTGTCCTGGGAGACAGTAATGGTGAAGCTGGAGGTGCTGTCCTGGGAGACAGTAATGGTGAAGCTGGAGGTGCTGTCCTGGGAGACAGTAATGGTGAAGCGGGGGTTTGCTGTCCTGGGAGACAGTAATGGTGAAGCTGGAGGTCTGTCCGGGGAGACAGAAATGGTGAAGCTGGAGATACGTCCTGGGAGACAGAAAGGGTGAAGCTGGAGGTGCTGTCCTGGGAGACAGAAATGGTGAAGCTGGAGAACGTCCTGGAGACAGTAATGGTGAAGCTGGAGGTGCTGTCCTGGGAGACAGAAATGGTGAAGCTGGAGATACTGTCCTGGGAGACAAAAATGGTGAAGCTGGAGATATTGTCCAGGGAGTCGGGAATTATAGCAGGAAGGAATACATATAAATGACCTCAAGGGGACAGGAGCCATAGTAGGGAAACAAGTGTAGTCAAAGATAAGATAAAACCAATATTGCAAACTAGAAATACCGCAGGAAAAAAGCAAACAAGAGGGCTCCAATAGCAATAGTGAGGATAAATTACCAAAAACAACTGGTGGGAGCTCCATTGTTTTGGTGCTAGGGAGGATAGAAGTAAGACAGGGAAACATGCCCAACAGGGAAAACAGTCACAGAAACCCAAGGCAAGCGGAAACCAAGCCTGTGCACATACTATGCACTTGGTATCTGCTGGCATGGGAAATCTGGAAAAACAGATGGGACATGCAACTATGACCACCCCAGAAAATGCCATGCCCATATGAAAACAGGAAAATGCAAACTCCCTTCCTGTAAGCTTTTTCAACCTGAAAAGTGTACCTCTTCAGTACAGGAAAAGACTGTGCTATAACTTAAATTGCCAGGCATACCATCTAAAGGGGACAAAAAGATACAAAACATCCAGGCCAGGGGAAAACCTGGTAGCACCACAGCCACTCAAGAGGGAGAGGTTTTTTAGTGCCGAGGAAGGAAAAAAACTGGCAGGAAATGCAAAATCGTACACCAAATCCAGTCATTCCCTGGAGTGAACCACAGTCGATGCCTCCACCCAAAACCAACAGAAACAGATACTAATGGCCGGAAAAAAATCCCCCCCCAGTACCAACAATACCACGCATCCATAACATACTTCTTTGGCAATAACAGGGTCTAAAGCCAGCTACAAACAACAAAATACCTTTTCATCCGTGGACTGCTTGCAGAGGCAAAGGCAATGTTCGCGGCTTTTCACTGAGACCCACATAAAGGATCACTTGGAACAACGAAGAATGGATCCCCATGGTTACAACCTATAGCGATTGACAGATGAACAGGCAAAAGGGGGGAGGTTGGCCTGTACATTGCAGAGTCACTTTTGCACAGAACTGCTTAATGCTCAAATGAGCGTAGTGGAAGTGTTTAGCAGTAAAGGTCGAGAACCAAAACCTAGTCATTGTGGGTAGTCTACAAGCCTCCGGATGCAGACATCCCAGCAATTCCAGGAACAGCAGTAAAATTGACCACAGTCTTGGAAAATCTTCCAGCTCCTGCACCCAACATCTTTGCTCCAGGGGGATTTTCAACTTATAAGGCCCTAAATGGAGGAATATAGCAAATAATAATGTTGCAGAAATACACCAGAGGCAGCTCTGATTGAAAACTCAACACTCACAAACGAGCTTTTAAATCTCTGCATCAAAAATTCAATTAAACCAGCAAAATAATAGAGACTACAAGACAGAAATACACTAGACCTCATCTTCACTAACAATGATGATCTGAGAAAAATGTCACATATCAAAAACATATACTCAGATCACACCATAATTGAGTATCAGACAGTAATGCAAGGAGGCCCCAGACCGACAAATTGAACAGTCATGAGGGAGCCAATTCACCCAATTCAACTCAATAACAAAAACTAAAGTGGGACAAGTAACCAAGTCCTAACCGATAAAAGCTGGGAAGATATACTAAGCAACACAGACCCAAACTTATGCCTAGAACAGATTAAACTCGGTGCACTCGATGTATGCACAAGCTTATTTCCTCTAAGAAAAAGGATAATGAGTAATGTAAAAATAGAAAGAGACAGGCCCCCTTTTACAGGCGACGGAAAAGAATAACAGAGCGGCTAAAAGAGTCCAATATATCTGAAATGCGCAGGGAAACCACTGGTCAAGAAATAGCAAGCATCGAACTTAAGGCTAAAAGAATCCTTTAGGAGTCAGGAATCGCGGGAAGAACTAAAAGCCATAATGAAAATCGACAGAAACCCAAAGTAATTCCTTCTCCTATGGCCAAATCAAATCGAGAACAACGTCCAGTAATGGGCCCTACTTAAACAAGAATGTCCTACACAGTAGACAGCAAGGAAAAGTGAGCTAACCAAGTCCCAATATGACTCAGTTTTTTTAGCAAGCCGCTAAACCAGACTGAGAGTCGAAGACCAAAATGAATTTTTTATGAGAGACCACAAAAATTGACTATACACAAGCCTATCCGATGTTATCTGACGCCAAAGACGTCGAACAGGCGATAAATGACATGCCCATGACTCTGCCCCAGGGCAGACTCATGGAACTCAGTGTTCATCAAGAACTGCAAGCAGCCCTATCACAGCCTTTTCCATCCTATGGCGAGGGAGCATGGACACGGGGGTCTCCCTCATTACTAAAAAACACAGACCTAGCCCCCCACTCCACAACGGCAGTAAAGCACTGCAAAAACTACAGACCAATAGCACAACATCCCATGATCATAAAATCTTGAAGGGTCCTAAAGAAGCAAGATCACCACCCCTCTAGAAACCCATCAGTTACCAACCCGGGCAACATGGGGTTTAGAACAAGGTCGCTCCTGTCGTCTCAACACTGGATCACTATCGTCAAAGGTCCTAATGCAACTAGAAGACAAAAAAATGCAGATGTAATAATACAACCCTTTGCAAAGCCTTCGACAAGTGTGACCATGGCGTAATACGCACCAAAAAAACGCGCTAAAGGAATAACAGGAAAAGTTCGGTCGATGGATCTATAATTTCCTCACTAACAGAACACAGAGAGTAGTCGACAACGAGTAAAGTCCGAGGCAGCTACGGAAAAGCTCTGTCCCACAAGGCACAGTACTAGCTCCATCTTGTTTCCTCATCCTCATATCCGACATAGACCAGATGACAGCCACACACCGTGTCTTCCTTTGCAGATGACAGCCGATCTGCATGACATGTCTTCCATGTCAGACACTGCAGGCTCCAGCGGACACAACAAATCTTTCAGTGGCTGCAGAAAACATATGAAGTTCAAACGATGAGAAATTTCAATATACTCAGATATGTAAACATGGAGAAAATTAAATCTTTCACAGAGTACCAAACAAATTCTGGCCAACAAAATAGACGAAACACCAACGACCAAGACCTAGGAGTGATTATGTCGAGGATCTCACCTTCACGGGACCATAACATTTTATCAATCGCATCGCTAAAAAATGACAGGATGATAAAGAGAACCTACAAAACTAGGGAGGCCAAGCCCATGATGACACCTTCAGGCCACTTGTTTCTATCTAGGCTGGAATATTTTGCTTGCACTCTAACAGCACCTTTCAAGCAGGTGAATAGCCGACCTAGAAAATGTTACAGAAGAACTTTCCACGGCGCGCATAACGGAGATAAAACACATCAATTACTGGTAGCGCTTGAGGTTTATAAACCTGTAATCTCCCTGGAACGCAGGAGGGAGAGATACATGATTAAATACACCTGGAAATCCTAGAGAGGACTAGTACCAACTTGCACACGAAAATCACTCACTACGAAAGCAAAAGACTTGGCAGACCGATGCACCATCCCCCCAATGAAAAGCAGGGGTGTCACTAACGTAAGAGACCATAACAATAAGTGTACAGGGGCCCCGAGACTGTCAACGCCTCCCAGCACACATAAGGGGGACTTACCAACAGACCCCTGGCAGTCTTCAAGCTGGCACTGGACAAGCACCTAAAGACAGTTCCTGATCAGCCGGGCTGTGGCTCGTACGTTGGTTTGCGTGCAGCCAGCAGCAACAGCCTGGTTGATCAGGCGCTGATCCACCAGGAGGCCTGGTCACAGACCGGGCCGCGGGGGCGTTGACCCCCGAAACTCTCTCCAGGTAAACTCCAGGTAATCCTTGCTGAGGTATCGGAACGCTATCCGTAGGTTTGCTAGGCGCCTGTATGCTGCAGCAGTTATCTGATTGATGTGTGTGTGTGTGTGTGTGTGTGTGTGGTGTGTACTCACCTAATTGAGGTTGCAGGGGTCGAGTCCAATCTCCTGGCTCCTGTGTGTGTGTGTGTGTGCGTGCATATATATGTTTGTACGCTCGGGTCCATGTCTGGGCGTGCGCCCTCGTGTGTGTATGTGTGTGCGCGCTCGTGTGGGTGTATGACCCACTTAATATTTGTATTTATAACTCATTACAATTGTGACCAGGTGTGGACGTGTCAGTGGCTCATTACTTTGTAATTTGTTCATGATTGTAACCATGTATAAAAGTGTAGATGGTTCATTACCTTTGCAACTTTCCATGTTTGTGACCAGATCTACCAGGAGTTCATTACCTTTGCAACTAGTTCAACTATCAACTTTGGGGTCCAGTCCCTGGACCCATTATGTACCTCTGTAATCTTTTGACTACCACCCACAGGATGGGTATGGGCTGCATAATAAACACATTAAACTAACTGGACAGATACTTTGCATTTGATTTGATCGTGAGAAACGGGCATCCGACTCTAGCATTTCGGCGAGCGGCTTCACACGGCTCCTCCAGCTACCACTGCCCTTTCTCCCAGCAACAACAATAACATCGCCAGTAGTGATAGTTCCCACATAGCAGCGAAATAGGAGTGCTAGTCTAGTTACCAACCCTTATAAAAAGTATACTTTTAGATATTAATTCTCAGGTAGAGTCATAGAGAGGCAGGACATGAGAGATAACAGCGCCACGGAAGGATAAACACCACAGTGACGTCACTTTATTCATTGTTTTCCTAGAATTTGGTTAATGTTAGTGAAGTCTCGTGACCTGTTACGTCTGGCTCCAGGTAAGTCACTCAGTATTTCAGTCAACTTCTTCATTGATAATTAATGTTGGTGAAGAAGACATGATTGTGTCTTGTCAGAGAGGAACTTTGTTGAGATGTTTCGCCTGGGAAAGAGACTTCTTCAGTGTATGAACCGATGTTTCTCTGCCAGGCGAAACGTCTCAAATTAAAAATAATTGAAAATATGTAGTTTTCGCCAATTGTTGCTTGGTGTGGTGTATGTGTACTGTATGGTGACTTATGATGTAGTGTGATGTATGGTGACTTATGATGTAGTGTGATGTATGGTGACTTGTATGATGTAGTGTGATGTATGGGTGACTTATGATGTGTGATGTATGGTGACTTGTATGTAGTGTGATGTATGGTGACTTGTATGATGTAGTGTGATGTATGGTGACTTATGATGTAGTGTGATGTATGGTGACTTGTATGATGTAGTGTGATGTATGGTGACTTGTATGATGTAGTGTGATGTATGGTGACTTATGATGTGTGATGTATGGTGACTTGTATGTAGTGTGATGTATGGTGACTTGTATGATTAGTGTGATGTATGGTGACTTATGATGTAGTGTGATGTATGGTGACTTGTATGATGTAGTGTGATGTATGGTGACTTGTATGATGTAGTGTGATGTATGGTAACTTGTGATGTGTGATGTATGGTGACTTGTATGATGTAGTGTGATGTATGGTGACTTATGATGTAGTGTGATGTATGGTGACTTGTAATGATGTAGTGTGATGTATGGTGACTTGTGATGTGTGATGTATGGTGACTTATGATGTAGTGTGATGTATGGTGACTTATGATGTAGTGTGATGTATGGTGACTTATGATTGAATGTGATGTATGGTGACTTGTATGATGTAATGTGATGTATGGTGACTTGTATGATGTAGTGTGATGTATGGTGACTTATGATGTGTGATGTATGGTGACTTGTATGATGTAGTGTGATGTATGGTGACTTGTATGATGTAGTGTGATGTATGGTGACTTATGATGTGTGATGTATGGTGACTTGTATGATGTAGTGTGATGTATGGTGACTTGTATGATGTAGTGTGATGTATGGTGACTTATGATGTAGTGTGATGTATGGTGACTTGTATGAGTAGTGTGATGTATGGTGACTTGTGATGTGTGATGTATGGTGACTTGTATGATGTAGTGTGATGTATGGTGACTTATGATGTAGTGTGATGTATGGTGACTTGTATGATGTAGTGTGATGTATGGTGACTTGTGATGTGTGATGTATGGTGACTTATGATGTGTGATGTATGGTGACTTATGATGTAGTGTGATGTATGGTGACTTATGATGTAATGTGATGTATGGTGACTTATGATGTAGTGTGATGTATGGTGACTTATGATGTAGTGTGATGTATGGTGACTTGTATGTAGTGTGATGTATGGTGACTTATGATGTTCCTGGAGTTTACCTGGAGAGAGTTTCGGGGGTCAACGCCCCCGCGGCCCGGTCTGTGACAAGGCCTCCGGTGGATCAGTGTGGATGTAGTGTGATGTATGGTGACTTATGAGTAGTGTGATGTATGGTGACTTGTATGTAGTGTGATGTATGGTGACTTATGATGTGTGATGTATGGTGACTTGTATGTAGTGTGATGTATGGTGACTTATGATGTAGTGTGATGTATGGTGACTTATAATGTAGTGTGATGTATGGTGACTTATGATGTAGTGTGATGTATGGTGACTTGTATGATGAAGTGTGATGTATGGTGACTTATGTAGTGTGATGTATGGTGACTTATGATGTAGTGTGATGTATGGTGACATTATGATGTAGTGTGATGTATGGTGACTTATGATATGTGATGTATGGTGACTCATGATGTAGTGTGATGTATGGTGACTTATGATGTAGTGTGATGTATGGTGACTTGTATGATGTGTGATGTATGGTGACTTGTATGATGTAGTGTGGTGTATGGTGACTTGTATGATGTAGTGTGGTGATGTATGGTGACTTGTATGATGTAGTGTGATGTATGGTGACTTGTATGTAGTGTGGTGATGTATGGTGACTTGTATGATGTGTGATGTATGGTGACTTGTATGTGTGATGTATGGTGACTTGTATGATGTGTGATGTATGGTGACTTGTATGTGTGATGTATGGTGACTTGTATGATGTGTGATGTATGGTGACTTGTATGGTGACTTGTATGATGTAGTGTGACGTATGGTGACTTGTATGATGTAGTGTGGTGATGTATGGTGACTTGTATGATGTAGTGTGACGTATGGTGACTTGTATGATGTGTGGTGTATGGTGACTTGTATGATGTGTGATGTATGGTGACTTGTGTGATGTATGGTGACTTGTATGATGTAGTGTGACGTATGGTGACTTGTATGATGTGTGATGTATGGTGACTTGTATGATGTGTGATGTATGGTGACTTGTGTGATGTAGTGTGATGTATGGTGACTTGTATGATGTGTGATGTTATGGTGACTTGTGTGATGTATGGTGACTTGTATGATGTGTGATGTATGGTGACTTGTATGATGTAGTGTGACGTATGGTGACTTGTATGATGTAGTGTGATGTATGGTGACTTGTATGATGTAGTGTGATGTATGGTGACTTGTATGATGTAGTGTGGTGCATTATATGGTGACTTATGTTGTGTGATGCATTGTATGGTGACTTGTATGATGTAGTGTGGTGATGCATTGTATAGTGACTTGTATGATGTAGTGTGATGTATGGTGACTTGTATGATGTAGTGTGATGTATGGTGACTTGTATGATGTGTGATGTATGGTGACTTGTATGTAGTGTGGTGATGCATTGTATGGTGACTTGTGATGTAGTGTGGTGATGCATTGTATGGTGGCTTATGTTGTGTGATGCATTGTATGGTGACTTATGTGTGATGCATTGTATGGTGACTTGTATGATGTAGTGTGGTGATGCATTGTATGGTGACTTGTATATAGTGTGAAGCATTGTATGGTGACTTGTGATGTAGTGTGATGCATTGTATGGTGACTTATGATGTGTGGTGATGCATTGTATGGTGACTTGTATGATGTAGTGTGGTGATGCATTGTATGGTGACTTATGTAGTGTGGTGATGCATTGTATGGTGACTTGTATATAGTGTGATGCATTGTATGGTGACTTGTATGTAGTGTGGTTATGCATTGTATGGTGACTTGTATGTAGTGTGGTGATGCATTGTATGGTGACTTGTATATAGTTTGATGCATTGTATGGTGACTTGTATGTAGTGTGGTTATGCATTGTATGGTGACTTGTGATGTAGTGTGGTGATGCATTGTATGGTGACTTATGGTGTAGTGTGGTGATGCATTGTATGGTGACTTGTATGATGTAGTGTGGTGATGCATTGTATGGTGATGTGTGGTGATGCATTGTATGGTGACTTGTGTAGTGTGGTGATGCATTGTATGGTGACTTGTGTAGTGTGGTGATGCATTGTATGGTGACTTGTATATAGTGTGATGTATGGTGACTTGTATGTAGTGTGGTGATGCATTGTATGGTGACTTATGATGTAGTGTGGTGATGCATTGTATGGTGACTTGTATGTAGTGTGGTGATGCATTGTATGGTGACTTGTGTGATGTAGTGTGGTGATGCATTGTATGGTGACTTGTATGTAGTGTGGTGATGTATCGTGACTTGTATGATGTTGTGTGATGTATGGTGACTTATATGTGTGGTGATGCATTGTATGGTTACTTGTATGATGTGTGGTGATGCATTGTATGGTGACTTGTATGATGTGTGATGTATGGTGACTTGTATGTAGTGTGGTGATGCATTGTATGGTGACTTGTATGTAGTGTGATGTGTTGTATGGTGACTTGTATGTAGTGTGATGTGTTGTATGGTGACTTGTATGATGTAGTGTGATGCATTGTATGGTGACTTGTATGATGTAGTGTGATGCATTATATGGTGACTTGTATGACGTAGTGTGATGCATTGTATGGTGACTTGTATGATGTAGTGTGGTGATGCATTGTATGGTGACTTGTATGATGTAGTGTGGTGATGTGTTGCATCTTGGCTTGTATGATGTATGTTATGTGGTGATGTGTTGTATCTTGACTTGTGTGATGTATGTTATGTATTGATGCATTGTATAGTGACTTGTATGATGTATATGGTGATACATGTTGTATGTTATTGTGTTGTATGGTAATACAGTGGTACCCCGAGTTTCGGCCATAATTCGTTCCAGAAGGCTGTTCGAGTGCTGTTACCGAACAAATTTGTTCCCATAAAGAATAATGTAAATTAGATTAGTCCATTTCAGACCCCCAACAATACACTTACAAAAGCACTTACAATAATACACTTACATAATTGTTTGAGTTGGGAGCTGTACGAAACTTGGAGTACCACTGTACAATGGTACCTCGGGATATGAACTTATTTCGTTCCAGAAGGCTGTTCGAGTGCTGATACCAAACAAAATTGTTCCCATAAGGAATGATGTAAATTAGATTAATCTGTTTCAGGCCCCCAAAAATACACTTACAATATATTGTTGTGGGATGTGATGGTGAGGTGTAGTCTTGACCCTTTATGTGCCTTCCTTTGATGTATTGTTTTTATAGTTCCTTGATAATGTGAGAAGTCATGAAAGCACTTGGAATTTCACTATTCTTTCACAGTGGTTGTTTTGTATATTCTGATATCACCTGTGTACTGTTTTCTTATTGCACTTACATTATTGTTTGCAGTTTGAGCTATTCGTATCCCAAGGTACCACTGTATATACAGTGGACCCTCGACCAACGTTATTAATCCGTTCCTGAGAGCTCATCATTAGTCGAAATTATCGTTAGTTGAGTTAATTTTCCCCATAAGAAATAATGGAAATCAAATTAATCCGTTCCTGACACCCCAAAGTATTGAAAAAAATTTTTGTACCACATGAAATATTAATTTTAATACAAACAAATTGAAGAAGACATGTACA